TTTTGAAAATTCGCTTCGTAGAATAGAGATGTTGTTTCATGGAGGCAAGTTTCTAGGTGTACACGCGAGAAGAACACCATGGCAAGTTTATGTCTACCTTGTTTTTCAGGGGATGTCGTGGATGAGTAGAAGCAATTCCTAAAATGGTGAAGTATTACTATCCACATATGATGCGTTGGAGAGTTTATGGCAAATGGAATAAGGAATGCCGTTTTTTTAAACGATAGCGGCCAAAGAGGGGAACTAGAAATTAAACCTGTCCTGAAACCAAAAGTAAATGCCTTCACTGTAACATTGCACCAATTGTACATTTTCGTTTAGTAACCCGTGATGTTCCGAACGGATGACACGATTAACTGGATTCCACCCGAAAAATCGCAGGCGACCCCGAAAATCGCACGTTAATAATCCTCCATACTTACAGGCAGCTCGTAAAAATCAATGATTGACAATTGTCCTTATTTAAAGACGTACTGCAAAATCGTCCACAAATGACCTTTCTTTCTTATAGAAGTTTCGCAAATGGTACATTAATAATATTGGTCGTAGTTATCTATTAAAGGCGTCTCGGAAAATTGCACGTTAATGATCGTCCGTACTGATGTCCTAGAAAAATCGAAGATTAATAACCCCCTTTCTTTAAAGACGTCCAAGAAAACTCATACATTAATAATCGTCCTTACCTATTTATAGACGTTCAGAAAAATTCGTACACTCTTTACTGCCACTATTAAAGACGTCCTGCAAAAATCATACGTTTATTGAAAATTTTCCTCATTTATAGCCGTTCCGGAAAAATCGTAGATTAATAATTGCTCTTAATTATTTAAAGACGTTCGGGAAAATTGTCCCCATTTAAAATTATTTTTCTACAATCGATATCCAAAGTAGATATTTGCGCTCGTATTTGACAACGCCAACGACATCTATTTCGAGGAATGTCACTTTGTCGCTTATAAGCGACAAAATAAAAAACGCCCGCTCTCCCAACTATAAATCAAATATACATTGCTCAGAGCACAGCCGTCTATAATTACAAGCCATGCTGAGAAGTTTGGCAACGTTGTTCGAAAGTCAATCGGTGGGCCGATTTATTTTAATGGCGTCTTGTTGCTCTTGAAAAATGACATTTTCCTCTCTTCTGTTTCGCCTTGGCGGTTTTAATATAGAAGAAAGATACTTTGGCAGCTTACAATTGTGCATATATATTATTTATTTACAAAAATGGATAATAACATTTTTATTTGACTTTAAAATTCGGAATGCTGTAAATTTGTAACTGCATCACAATGTGTTTTCCATCGAGATCTCCGAAATTGGTGAACTTCTGTCGAAACAGGTCGAGGTGAAGCACACGCTTGAGCACTTAATTTCGGTAAAAGGACAGTAAATCGCTGCGCATCAGCGAGGTTTTATCAACGACCAGGTGTGATTCGAAATGGCAGACTTTAAGCCAGCCGCTACTCCAGTGGGTGTAGGTACGAAGCTTTTAAAGAGGGGAGCCCTGTAGACTTCAAATTCTCGTACCATGAACTCTTGGGAATAAGTTGAAAGGTTCCTTCAGAAAATCGATTTGACATGTCCGTGCTAGAATACCTGAAATACAAACTAATTGTGTTTTTTCACGATAAACACTTACCGTACTTACGTACCACGTAGTGTGTAGGTCATATTTGAGCTTGTACAGGTACTTTGAACAAATACAAGTGCTTGTAAAGGGTCCAGTAAGGAGTAGCTTGCTTTAGAGGTTATGGCAACAAATCGATATATTTCGTTTAGCAACTTACCTGAATAATAATTTCTGTTCATTCCATACGGAGTAACACAAATTGTCGCAATCTCGCTCTTTTAAAACAGGTAAATTGGAATATTACACCCAAAACACATATAAAATACACCCAAAATCTGTCAAGTTGAATTAGGAAATCGGCCTACCATGCAGTGTTGCCATAATTCTCAGCACGGCTTGTAATTATAGACGGCTGTGCTCAGAGTATCCAATGACAACGAGTAAATGACATCTTTCATTTGAGTGAAAAATTTAAATTTCAACTGTCTCTTTCAATCGACAATGTATCTTTTGCGCGCTTAAACACACAAATAGCTATTATATTGGAAAATTTCTCTGTTCTCTATTTGCAGGCACTTGATTTACCGGCAGCTCACAACAAGAACTCGAGTACCTGCTGTAGGAAAGCAGCATCAAGTTTAGTACGATACGATCTAATATAGACGCTTCGGTCAGGCTTCGGTGGCTTACTGGAATCCAGTACATGTACTTTGTATTTGTTTTAATCGCGTTTTTACTTTCTCATTTGTCTGTATATTGCTTTGTACGTCCGTGTACCCTCGGGAATCTCACAAATAAAAAAGAATCTAGTGCGAGAGAGGGTGTTTTGCATTCCCCTCTTAGGGCGGCAGAAATTTCTGTGCAAGAAAAGGTAAAAGCGATAAGTACGGTGCATTAAACCTAATGTAAAAGTAAAAATTATACAGTATAAATGCAAAATAAATTTACGGAAAAGTTCAAAATTACGCTACTTACAAATTATAAAATTCGAATGCGGGGACCCTAAAAGTTTGTAATTGGTCTTAACATATTAATTATAAGAGCGTCTTTTTTAGACCAGTCCCGTTTTAATCAGATGATGTTTACTGCATCTCATTTAATCTGCTACCGCTAATTACACTTACTTAATTTGCTTAAATTCATAATTCATAATTAACCCCCATTATCTCTTTGAATTTCTCAGGTCGACAAAAGTCTCTTATCTAACTGATACCGAACTAAACCTGCATGGACTTGTTTTAATGCTCGTTTCAAATTAATACAGGAAACTAAAACCATCTAATAATTACTTAAAGGGACTAACATTCTAAAATAATAAATTGCCATTGTCTTCTAAATGGCCAGAGCTTTCGGCACAACAAAGATAATTGTAATATCTTGACGGGAACGGTTGCAAACGGCTGCGCAGCTGAAACACAACTATAGTTAAATCAGTTACCTTTACCTTCTATCTTCAACATCTAGAACCAACACAAATACTTCGGCGCGACACTTTTCGCAACGAAGCGCCTCGGGTGATTGTCTGCAGATCGGTCATGAAAGTAGGTACATCAAGGCGGAAACGGGTACTTTGTTATAGACTTAGGAAAAATGTATATTGATTGCGAACTTTCTGAACAGAAGATTCAAGCAAGGCTAAGACGAATGGCAAGAGATAAAAGACAAGACGGCCATAGGGTTACAGTTGCTCACCAAAACTTCACTACCCTAACAAACAATTTTTGTAGTCAGTGGGAACCCTATTTATAGAAGTTCGAATCCCTGAAAATTGACATTTTGCCATTTTTCTCAGACACTTGAATTCTTAAGGCCGTATGACACTGTACTAAATTTAGTACCAGATTTATGAACATAATTTGAATCAAAATTTGATACAAAATTTTGAATAAAAAAATTTACTTCTGTCTGACACACTAAATTTTGCAAGCAACATTGTACTTGCGCCTGTGCTGTTTGGATTAGTATGTAGGGAAATGTCTTTATTTTCCAGCACTATATTCTGTGGTTTTAGTTTGGTTCAATGTCTGTGGTTTTCACTAATAGGTTTATTTGCAACATACCCTATAAACTTTGTTTATTAACAAAGCTATAAACGAGTTATTATGGAATTTGCTGTAGTTACTATCTACTTCTATCATTTTAATAGCAAAAGTGTTATTGCGTTTCAAACAACGGCCTTAATGTCATTACAAATAAACAGATATGATGCGTGGCAACTTTCTGCGCAGTTTTTGTATATAATTTATGCAGTTTTTAGAACACGTTCTAAATAATTTTTGCCCACAAATTTTGTTGTAAGTTTTCTTACAAAATGCGTATGACACTACACAAAATTTTGTAAAAATTTTTGTCATAAAAATTTCGTACTAAATTTAGTACAGTGTCATACGGCCTTTACCAACAATTTTTCCTCAATACAATTTTGTGCGCCGTGTTCATTAATTAATGTCGCATAAAATCCCTAAATTCTTTAATCTAAAAATCTGAAAAAAATCGCTTCAATCTTTGGTGAGGGTTTCTGAAAATACTTTAAAACGTGGAATAGTGTAAAAAGCTTTATGCTGCTTATATTAACCCCGTTCAACCCCACTATGCACTTTTCCATGTTCGTATAGGTCAAAAACCTTAAGAGCATAAATCGGTAAAATTTAGCACAAAATTAGTGAATATTCAGAAGTTAGATAAATCAATATCAGTACTTCAACTTCACTGATCTGCACTAAGTTGGCTGAAATACGAGCCATCTTTAGCCGTTTGTGGTGTTTCTAACAAAGACGGTTTTATAAGGGCTAGAATTGAATCCCGCAAGATATTCCAGTATTCAAAACAAAAAAAGATATGCTACTCATTAGTGTATGATCAACAGCACCTACACAACGAAAATCTTTTTACACTTTTTCTTTCGTTATGTAGATATATTCCATAGGAACAAATGTTATCATTTTTTGTTCTAAACTTTTGCTGTTTTTTTACTAATGCTAATTTTAAAGGGCCTTGGGGCATTCAACAAATTTTCCCACCAAAACTTTTATATTTTAACTCCACGATACTGTTACATAAAAGTACATTTTCTGTTATTTAAAGGGCACGGGTTGCGAAAGATCCATTCAAACTGAAATCATTTTGGAGATGACAGATGAGTCTGTCAGGATGGGTTGCACGTCAGTTTGGGTTTACGGGTGTTCTGACACATTAACTCCCTTGATTAATCCACGAAACACTTCTGTCTGTGCTATTTTCTAGATCAAACCAATGTATTTTAGCATTTTTTGTTTGATGGTTATGAACTTCCGAATTGCTTCCTTTTCGATATCGAATTCTCTGGCAGTGTTCAACTATTATTCGTGGAAACTGAAAGTTCCAAACATTGGATTTACACTTAAATAATTATTATGGATCACATTATCCGGTGCAAATTATGACAATTGACTACATCCGTATGAGAATCATGACAGCTTCCCCTTCATTGTTTACAAAGATATGCGTGGTAAGTTAAATTTGAAAAGACATTGCGCAGTATCTTAAACGAATTTTCAGAGAAAGTTTTCCAGCAATTGGAAACAAACAAAGCATATCGACCCTCCTGTCGCAGGCTACCCAGATTATGCGGTGAAGGTAAAATCTTTACCTAACAAAATAATTGTTGCAGCTGTCGACAATAATTGTTCCCTGATTTCTCGAGTGTCCATAGTCTTTAGGTAGGTAAAAGCGCTGAGACATACCCTTATTGTTTGTTTTAAATAGGGCCGGAACTCGATACGAAACTTACAATACACGGGGCGTTACGCAATGTTTGAAAGTGGCGGCCGGTTGCGCCACGAAAAATTACTCACGGTTTGCGATAATGCGCAATTTACAAGAGCTTTGCACCCCTCTCACTTGCTCCGTTGGACGGGAGGTAATTTCGTACACGTTGGAAGGCAAAAGCTCTAGTGTCGATCAGGCACTTGATTATCTGGTGGATGTAGCCTCAAATGCAGTTTTTAAGCGGTGGGAGGTTATAGAAAACATTCCCAGGCTGAAAATTGAATTAGAAAGTCGAACACCTCAAGTAAGTAGTTACAAGTATTGATTGTACGATTTTTATTTTGTTTGCAAGCAATTTGTTGTGGATTTAGTGCACCAAGCTGCTTATCGCAGTAGTGGTCTCGGAAATTCAATCTATATACCTAAGCACAAGTTGGACCACGTTGAAGTGGAACACTTAGAGCAACACGTCTCGAACTACTTTGTTGGCGCAAACTGTGCAATTGTGGGGGCAGGAGTAAATATTAAGGAATTAATTTCCCTAGGCGAATGTATAAATTTAGAGAAAAATGGTTGTGAAGAGAAGTGTCCTGCGATAATGCACGGGGGTGAGATTAGGTAATCAAGGTCGTTGAAGGTAATAAGCTTAAACTTAAATGAATAGGTCGGATAAGGGTGGCTGTGTGGCGTACGTTGCAATTGCCGGCGAGGGTGCATCTTGGCGTAATCCAAAGGAATTATTCTCGTTTGCGATTCTGCATAGAGCTCTTGGCTCAGGAACCTACATTACGCATACCAGCGAAAATAAATCGCCATTAGCCAAGATACTCAGAAGTGCGCCCGCATATTTGAATTCAATTACAGCATTCAATTACAATTACTCCGACTCTGGTTTATTTGGTGTGCTATTAACAGCGAATTATTCGGATATTCCTTGCGTAATTGGATCTGTTTACAAAACTTTGCGGCAAGGAAAGATAAGCGCTGAAGATTTTGAAAGAGGTTGTGTACTTTTCGGGGTTGGATATGTAAAATTTGCTTTCGATTTAGGTAAACAACAAGCGAAGGTGTCTTTCCTTCTAAGTGCTGAAAGTGGTCATAGCTACGTTGGAGATATTGCGACTCAAGTGATGTCCAATGGCTGTGCTTATAGCCCATGCATGATCACCGAAGCTTTGGATTGCATTACTATAAAAGATGTGAACGAAGTAAGCGAGGCATTCAACCCTTCGTCATTTTCGTCATTTTTATTTTCAGGCGGCTGAGAAACTGATGAACGGAAAATTCTCTATTGCATCTGCAGGTCGTTTGGACAATGTTCCTCGGCTATCAGATTTATGCGTTTAAGAGAGAATCTGAACTTGAATTATATTCAATAAGTCTACTGCATTGTTCTACCTTTGTATTGACATTCATATCTCTCTTAAAGTTTTGCTTATTCAATAAATTATATAATTAAACATAAACCAAACCACCACTCTTCCCTTAAAATGTAGTGGTCATCCATGAAAATTTTAATGACACGCCCTATAAATCCATTTAAAATCGTAGAGGTCGCCCACCGTGAAGGAATGAAGAGCCCATCAGTATACGTAATTTTTGTCATAAAAGAATTTCCCTGCTCCACTCAGCAACGCTTTTGGTGGTACCACGCATATAAGAAACAAAATACTAGTAAACATTCAATTATTAGAGCAGGAACAAAGCATTGCCTCTTCAATACCTGTTTCCGTTTTTTTTACACAGCTGTCATGTATATATCTGCGAATGACATCAAATTTATATAAAACGACAACTTGGGATCCGCAAATCAACTGATAAATAGAATCTCTCTAAAATCCTATTTCACAAAGATTGCTTGGGATTTCTGTTTTCACTTCTTGCATAAAACGTAAATACGTAACTGTCTGCGGATAATACCGTTTGATGTTTTGTAAACAGTCATCGCTATAAATTTTCATATTACAATACCGCAAATATGTTGCACAATCGCTTCTCCCTTGTAGTCGCCTTTTCGATTATTGTTGCTATTAACAATCTTTCATTAAATGTTGCAGCTTTGTGGGCACCGAATATGCGCGATTTTCCAAATAAAGAGAAACAGATAACGAAAAGATTTGTTATGTTTATCATGTAAACATGTGCATATATCCAAATGCAAAAAGTGAGCAAAGTAAACGAAAAATAGTAGGCCGAAAGTCGTTAAAGGAAACCCCTACTATGACGCTTTGTATCTCTCAAGTGCAGTTAAACAAACGTCCAGGGGGTCGATTTTTGAAACCAGTCGCATCTATTCGTATACGCTTAGATGCGAAGACTTAAAAACGTATACGTTTTCCAAATGCAATTTTTGACTACTGTTCGTAACTGCCTGGAACCGAAACGTACAGTGCATATGACAACGTCGCCTTTATTGATTGATTAGAACTAAAACGGACTATTTGACGTTTGGGTTTGAGCTTAGGTGGTGAGGTGAAGATATTGCTCAGTCATTTCAAATTAAAGAATAATAATACTTTAGGCACTGATTAGTATGAATACTGAAAACACGATGGACACGCCAAAGCGAGGGTGCAATACCACGCAAAACCAAAAAGGGTGGCTAGTAGAGTTTGCTAAAAACCACCCCGATATAATAGCCGGGAAACAAACTACGACTTTGACGTGCAAGAAAATGCAAGACTCATGGAAAGAAGTAGCTGATACATTTTCATAAATTGTGCTTCATTTAAGACTTCTATGGGGTTGCAAGGATTACGGTTCCTATTGGGGCGATAATTGCGCTCGGCATTCTCTAAATTATCTATTACAAACACATTCACAGCTTCATCCATTGTTGTAAGTAGATACGTTTCAAGTCTCAAGAGTCAAATCTTCAACACTAACCAATACATAACCCACAAAACGTCAGTTGCGAGCGTTTGCGAACGCCATTTACCCGCTCGCAGAAAAACGAACACAATTGAACGTATACGCAATATAAACGTATGGTCAAAAATTGCAAATATACGTTTCTTTACGAATACGTATACGTTTTAAGGAAACGTACGGCCAAAAATCGACCCCCAGGCCTTGATTAGTTTTTCTGGTAAGCGCCAAGTTGAGATGCGATTTAATAGAACCTTATCTACCAAAAAATTAATGAAGTGAAACACAAAAGCAAAAAGGCCGGTTTGGAGTTAAAATCTTACAAAACTTGTGAAATACGTGAAATAATTTTGAAATCTGTACAAATGTGTCAAGGTTCTAGAGTAGTCTCCCAAACAAATTTTTGTCATGATATAAAGAATTCAGCTGGATGATTGGAGCCAATCTAATGTGCGTAATTTCCACACGTTCATTATAAATTGGTTACTGTCCTTTTAATTACTTCTAACGCGCTTAAGTCGCATTAGGGATTCGATTACAGCCGTTTTAATGAGGGTTTAACCTTACATTGGTTGGATCAGCAAGTCTTGTAATAATTAACGACCTTAGCTTGGGATTGGTTGGAAAGAAATTACTAACCAATAAAAATTAGGTATCGCCATTTCTAAAATATTTCGCTATTTTTGGGCGTGAAAAATTGAAACACTAACTGAAACTATCTTTTTAGGTCTTTTGAAACGCTCTAAAGCTATGTGAAAACATTTTTGAACTTTGAAATACTGCGTTACATTTCTGAAGCACTTTGAACCTTCCAAACCTCACCTGTAAAATTCACTGAAACCCTCTTAAATTCTCTAAATTTATGCGACTGAAATGTTTTAAGCTCTCTGAAACAAGAATCATTATGAAATCCACGGAGGCTCCATAAAACTTTATTTAGCCCTCTAAATCAAATACAAGAATAGTTATTATCCGACGACCCCTAGATTGAACGGCCTTTCCGCATTGCTTGTGCAATTTAAAAATTGTTTGAAACTTTATGCTATTTGAAAAACTCTTAAGCACTTAAGAATTTGTTATCTACTATAACAGAACTTCTGAAATGCCTCAAAAACCTCTAAAGCTTAAGGATACCTTTGAAGGCGTCTAAAACTTTCCTAAAGCGCAACTTTTAGAACATTGCTGTAACCCTGAAACTGTTTTAGAAGCTACCTGAAAGGTTCTAAAAATCTTGGACATCCTCTGAATCCATCTAAAGCTTGTTGAAAGGTTTCGAAAGGTATACGAAGATTTTTGGGAATACACTGAGGTCTCCAGATACTTTAAGCCCTTCTGGTAGCTCTTCTGCAGTTGGGCGATACCCTTTCCTGTACAGGTCATCAACTTCAACTTTACAGCGTTCGTCTACTGCAACTTCTACACAAGTTCTACTAATGTACTTCTTATACATTTCTTCTCAGAATTTTCAAATGTACATTTTTTTGAGTTATTCCAAATTAAGGAATATATCTGGTCGAGTACATTTAAGTGGTATCTGGCAGATTGCGATAAAGACGTTGTTATCGCGTTAATTGTTAATTGATTTTCAAGACGCACATGTATTTAGTGCTGATAACAACGCACGATTTCTTTTGCGCGTAAGTTTGATATGGAAGAAGGGACACTTCAAGCGCTCTTTATTGGTATTAAATTTTTTTAGCGGATTGATTTATTATGTGTTTGGGAATAAATTTTTTTGTCATTATCAATATATTTATTGTGTGTTTATTTCAATCTATTGTACGATCCAGATAGAGTTCTCGGAGTTCCTATGCCTATGCCCAAGATTTATCTCAGGTGTTAAGCAACATTTTTGTAATTGATTCTTTGGATTTTTGGAAACTGAGTCTCCTAAATTATTAATTTCGAGTCATATGTTAGGGTTTAGTAGCGAATGCCGGAGATACCATAAAAATTTATTTGAACTTAGCTGGACAAGTGTTTTGGGGGTAGTGTACTTAACCGCATCCCATTACATATTATTATGTATATATTATATGAAATATTAACGTATTTTACAAGTAAATATATTATTATTATATGTTACCATTTTATGATGATTGCTTTCCTGTCGAGTGATTTCCTTACAACAATATAACCATCAATACATATATCTTATTCCTTGATTAATTCAATTAAGGCCAGCTAAAAAAGAAATTTTTTAAATATGCTAATCATTAAGAAAAATATTGACCGATTTGTTAGTATTTGCGTTAACGTTTTTTTAGCGAAATATATACGAGTAAGTTACACAACACACAGTTCATAAAACTGGCGAAAGTGCCTATCTTCAATTATCAAAGTCGGGATTACCTAATGACGTCCGGGGAAAATAAATGAAATGGTGCAGGGGAATGTCGTGATTAATAAGGGTAGCAGTTAAAAAAATACATTAACGTGTAATAACCCGAGAGATTACAATGACATTAGATACCCGCAATTAAACCGAATAATTATGGCGGTTTAAATACGGTACGGAAAAATCTGTTTTCGATGAATGTAGTTTCTAATGATCTGTTTCAGCTTCTTTTTATCCAAGTTATTCTTTATACACACCAATTTAAATAAATGAAATTGTAAATTACTTCCTCGTAATAACAAAGACGCCCAAAGTTATTTGAAGTGCTCATTACTTCTGTTTCGGGAATCCTCATTTAAATTTTGGTTGCCAAATAAAATGAAATAGTAGCGGGAACAGTGGATCGTCAATACTTTCATAATGTGGGTACGACAATTGAAACATGCGTCAGAGGGAGTAGGTGGACTTTGGACAAAAAACGATCTTTCATTTTTCACATCGCTGATACGTTTATCAGCCATTTTAAATCAAAATTGCCTACGCACTATTCCAGAGAGTTTGAGTGAAAGGTATAATGCAATTAGCCGACTATTAGCATTTGGGTACCGCATATAAGCTAAGTACAACTAATTTGGTTTTCGGGTTTTATGAAGGGCGTTAAGCAGAACTTTTAGCTTACGGCATTATGTCTAAATATTATATCCCTACCTAACTGTGGAATTTAATTAACAGTTTTACAGTTATAGCTACCGTTCGTATGTTAGAAAGTACAAACGTATTCGTAATGGCTTTTATACTGAAACAATAGCTGAGATTTCTCCTACATAGGCAAAGTTATCATCATAACGTATGTTTCATCTACAGCACCGTTGAAAGGTACTTTACATTGTCATTTCCGATCTTTAATATCGCCTAATATGCAAAGTATACTTTTATATCTAGCTTCAATCATTCGTGTCCCCAACAAATAAAAGAACAAGCTTTTTGTGGCGGCAGAAACGAGGCAAAGTTAAATTCAAGTAGGTAGACAATTAGCGGAGCATGAATTGAGGGGGTCTACTGCGGAAACTACAGTATAAGGTGTGTCAAGTTGCGCAATCACACGAGTTAATTAGAGCTTGTGCAAGGTAGGTAGGTAGGTATTGTCTAGACATAGGTAAGTAAAAGGATATCGGTAAAT